TGGGAAGGGGGGCGGGCTTGCGGAGTGCATCTCGAGTAGCAGCTACTGCTCAGCCCTTCCCAGGGCCCTTCCAGTCTCTTGGCCATTGCAAACATTTGCTCGATAGATGCATTTTCAGATGTGCCACCTGGAGTCCCACAGTCCCCTGACACGGACTCTGCAAACCGCGTCGTCAGGGTGGACCAATCTGCAAAGGTGGTCATTCCCACGCTCGCCGGGCCCTGGCACTCCTCTGGCAGTGTGTGCACACGAGCCTCCAGGCACGCGTCCTCGTCCAGATCCCTGCGTGGAGCTGAAGCTCACTCGGCCGGCCCTGTGCGATTGCAGAGTCACGAGGAGAAATGGAGGCCCCCTGCTACAGCCTGGAGAGCTGGGCCCAGGAGGGCTGCGAATGAACGAGGGCCAGCAGGCCACACAGCGGCCAAGGCGCCAGACTCCCACGTGGCCCGCTGTGGTTTTACCCCTGGACCAAAGGTCTAAAAATCACACCTGGCACGTGTACATGCGTGCCCAAAATCCCAAGAGGAGATTCAAGGAGAAGGATTGCAGAGCGGCCACCCCCCAAGGGGTGATTTCTCATTTTCTCTCTCTGCACGCACCCTATGGCAAAAAAGGAAAAAAAAATTAAAAAGAAAGAAAATGCTTCAGGCTTAGTCACAAGTAACGGGCAGATGGCCCGCGGTAGGACAGCCACCCAAACCCCGCAGCATCTTCCAGTGCCAGGCGGGCTCCCACCTCCAGCTGGACCGGGCACCCCCCCGACCTGGGGTGCCGGCCCCGACAAGCAGCTAAACGGGCTGGAGCCCGGGGGCGCACTGCGCCGCGAAGAGACGCCGCGGGAGTGGCGGGGGTGGCCGGCTCCGTGCGGGGCTGAGCTCCAAGACGTCTGCGCCCCAGCTCTGCCCGCAGCAGCGCCCTCGCTGCCCCGTGGGAGTGGACCCTGGCTTGCCAGCGGCTTAGCGGTGGCCAGTGTCATTTTTGTGACGTTGCAGCTAGTGATATGAAGCCCAGTTGCATAGTCACAAAAGTGATCATTGGAGACTGTGACTGCGCCGCAGGGGCCCGGGCAGCCCCGCTCCGACCGCGCTGGGTCCCGCGGCCGCGCTGAGCGAGGGCGCCTTGCACTAACCGTTCTTTCTCAGCGGCTTCCTGTGTCCACGTGGGTGCACACCAGTTTTTCTCAGTGCTGGGCCCTGCACTTCCTGGTGACACGTTCTGACCGAGGGTGCTGAGATGGGCGTCCAGATATCCGGGAACATCTGAGGTCTATAGCTCGGGGCAGCAGGTGGACACGTCTGCCCAGACGTCGCGGTCCGCTCGTTGTCCGTGATGTTTCCTGTTGTGATACTGCGAGCGTGTGGGTCTAACCCTCCCCACTCCTCACGGCCCCACGGCATGGCCCACGGTGTGGCTGGCTGTGACCAGGGAAAGTGCAGGCGGTGTGGATGTGACAATTACAGCGAAACCTCACTCGGGCCAGCCAGGGCAGCCTGTCCCACGTTTAGACCATGCCAAACGCACCGGAAACTAAAGACAGGACTCGCAGGCAGGAGGCAGGGGATTGCGGCGGGGGGGGGTC